AAAAAAAAAAAAATGAAACGCAAAATTTGCGTTAAGACGCAAAAATGCGTCAATCTGAGGAGAGAGAGGGTTGGGATCGCAATTTGTGATCAATTTTTGGGATCGGTTGGAGCTCCCCGTACTGCAATTTTTGCGTTTTGCAGTACGGTTGGAGAAGGTCTAAGTCAGATCCTTTTGGTTTTAATTCATAATTTTAATTTAGAAGAATATTTTGACTTTATTTTTTTTATTTTTAATCCGCAAGTCAGGATTATTTTGGTTTAATTCAAAATTATAATTTGAAAACAATATTTGGCTTTACCATCTAGAAGGAAAAAAAATCTAATTCAACCAGACAAATTAAATAAATAAATAAATACTTACAGTGTCATGTTTTTCCATATGTTTTTCCATCAAACATGAAATAGATCATGAGATAGATCTTGAAATTGATAAATTACCTCTAGTCTAAAAAAAATTGTTGATAAATTGTATCCAAACAAGAGGACACCAATAAAATATAAAATCATATCAAAATATTTATTATCCAAACAAGCGGGCACCAAGAGGACCCGGTCCTTGATGAAACCACTTTGGTTCAGATACGAGGGAAGGAAGGAGAGGGGCTAGGCGACCATTAAGAATCTTAGATATGAGCTTGTTGGCCACGTTACATGAGTTGATAGGTCTATAGTCAGACCAAGAGCTCGGTCTAGATCTCTTGGGAATCAAAACAATAGAGGCTGTTGTGAAAGATTCCGACATCTGATGACCAGAGAAGAAATCCGCTACAAGTTCCTCAATGTCAGTCTCAACAATCTTCTAATAGGCCTGAAAGAAGAGAGACGATAAGCGATCCGGGCTAGAGACACTGTTGGATCAATCCCAAAGACAGCCTCCCTGACCTTCTCCCTACTCGGAAGGTTGCAGAGGTCAACAGGATCAACTGAATGCGGGATGGTGGGGAAAAAGAAAGCGTTGGGTCGTAAGCCAGTCCCGCTCTGAGGTCAAGAGGGACTTGAAGTGTGTCACAACCGACTTCCGTATCTAGGACTCTTGGGTCAGGGTATACCCGTTATCTTCGATACAATGGATATATGACTTAACCCGCTTCTGACTCACAAACTCCTGGAATAACTAATGGCTAAAACTCTCACGGAATCATTTCGTGACGGGACTGTAGTCTTCTTCTTATTCTTATTAATGTGAGTGTAAGAAACTGGGGGAAAAGGAAAGCCCATATGAAGCCAAATGAGGTTCCATCCCAAAAGACAACTCACAAGTGATATTCTAACACGCCCCCTCACTTGTGAGTCATGATATGAAGTGATATTCTAACACGCCCCCTCACTTGTGAGTCATGATATCATGTCTCTAACCCAGACACAAAGTGGGCTCTGATATCATGCTCTGATACCATGTAAGAAACTGGGGGAAAAAGAAAGCCCATATGAAGCCCAAATGAGGTTCCATCCCAAAACCAATTGGTGAAAGGAAGAGTAGTCCATTAGACTTATAAGGTGGGTCTATTTTCTATGTGTGAACGATGTGGGACAACTCACAAGTGATATTCTAACAGTGAGTATACTCATTATATAATTTATAAATTCAAATATAATATTTATGCATATCACTTAGTATTTTTTATTTGTCTCAGTTCATATGCAAATAAATGAGTAGTAATGTCTCAGTTCATATGTAAATAAATGAGTAATATAGTTATTACCTGCAACCGGTTTAAATTTTATCCACTTCAAGGGAAGTGAATATGCCAATCGCGGTTAACATTAAAAAACTTTTTCAAGTGAATCTAGATTTTCAAACTCTTTTGGAATTAATTAATGGTGATTTTATTTTTTTAATTTGAGAAATCTTGAAACAAAATTTTCAAGTATAGTGATCTGTACGTACTAAAAGCAATATTATTGGATTTCAACTTAAGTAGAAAATTCGAATTAAAATGTCATTAATTAAATTATTTAATTTACGGAACTATAAAAAATTAAAATGTCCTTAAATAAGACTTTTGAAAATTTCCATATATAGTTTTATATGCACGAAAAAAACTCTCATTTGCTTCCCTAAACTATATATAACATTGAACCCCATTTATGATATTCAATCCATATAGCAAACAAACTAGCTTGCACTAAATCTATGAGCAATGGCCAATCCTAACGCTATCATCCCATTGTTGTTCATTGTCATATGGACAACCCATTTCCAAGCAATAATTGTTCACGGAAAACGCCACTGTTTTTTCACTCGCAAATTCACAGTCCATGTCACCAATAAGCTTCCTCCGAAATCGGATCCTCTGAAGTTGCATTGCGGATCGAAAGACGACGACTTAGGTTTTCACACACTTTCTCCAAATCAAAGCTTTAGTTGGGGCTTCTGTGAGAATTTTGTCCCCAACACTTTGTTCTTCTGTCATATTTGGTGGGGCTACAATAAAGACATCGGTTTCGAAAGTTTTAACTTTGAATTTCACGACGGCTGTATACCTGATGGCTCCCAATGCTTCTGGGAAGTAAGGGTTGCCGGTCTTTATAGACTCATTGGCAGCCAGAATAGATATGGAAAATGGCGTGATTGGAATATTACTAAGCTAGCATAACATGATTAAAAAGTACTACTATTTATTTATTCAGATTATCATTGAGTAAAAATTGTTGCCTGTCAATTATTTCATAAGAATTGATGCTTGATTGCCTTGAATCATGTAAAATTAATTAATGAGATCACTGTGTTGGTCTTGGATGTAGCTTCAATTAATGTGGATTATTTTTATATCTTGTGCGATCATCCGCATTCATGGTAATTTGTATATATGAAGCAGAACATGATAATCTTGATATGGGATACATACAGCCCGTTAGGTCGTCCACGAGACCTGAAGACAACCCGAGCGGTTCAAGTAAAGCCAATTGGTCGATCCATGGTCGAAGAACAAGAGACTTCAGGTCGCTGGGGTCACAGTCGGTTATGAACTTTATAAGGTTCTGAGCGAAATGTGATAAATGTTTATTGGGTTGTATTTATTTATTTATTTATTTTTTTAAAAAAAGTTCCTGGGGGAAACAAATACTAGCCATAATAAAAATTGTGAAATTTAAAATAAAATTGGATTATATATCTTAAAAATAACAAATGAAAAGGAGAAAGGAAATATTTTCTTTGTTTAAAATATAAACATTAAAACTCTAAACTTTTTTATTTACTTTATATATTTTAAATTCATTGGAGTATATAAATATTAGTTAAAATTAATGTAATATTTTATTATCAAAAAGGTAAAAAATTATAAGTAATGCTATATTTACATAATATTGTACACAGAGGTGTGCATAACACTCACATTTAGTGGGATCTACCAAGTACATAATACATGTATATAGAGGTGTACATAACACTCACATAGAGTGTGATCCACTTGATTTTTTTTGGTGGGTCTCACTCAATGTGAGTGTTATGTATACTCTTATGTACAATATTATGTACATATAATAACATTACTCGAAAATCAAATGGACCTGAGTGTTATGTACATCTCTATGTACATTTATTATGTACATATAACATTACTTTTTTTTTATTATTTTTATTTTTGGTGGGTCCCACTCAATGTGAGTGTTATGTAAACTTTTATGTACAATATCCTCCCTATATATTAATACATAACGCGTTGAGCCTAGGTGGCTGCTTCTGGTACTTCGGAATCCTATGTGGCAAAATTACATGCTTCGTTATTAGGCTTGGGTAAATTTTAATTTAATTCCAAACCAAAAATAATTAGGTTCAGATTACCATAAATATGTTCATTATTTATGGTCATGTTACATGTATTAATTATATTTTAATATCATTCCTTATTATAACTATTGAATTGTATATATATTTTAAAAGTTAATAACTTTTGTATTTTTTTATCAGTTTTACATAGGTAATATATCAAATTAATCTTCTTTTGATGAGTTTCGATTTAACATCCATATTGTATGTATAAAAAAAATAATTGATATTTATCTATATAACAATAATAAAATTATTTTTAATATTAATTAGAAAAATGAAATTATTTATCAACTAATATATTTATATTTCAAGTAGTTATATGATATAAGTTATAAAAATTAAATAATATAACACATGTAAGTCATAAGTAACACATATCATTCTAAAATATATAGTAATATATTTTTTTGGTGAAAAAGTAAACTAAATTTAATATAGTTTTCTCATTAATTTTAAAATTTAAGAATAATTTTTTAACAAACACCTGTGTAATACACCATTACTCATAATGAGATCTACCCCTACATATAGCATTACTTAATATTTAATCTTTCGCTCCTTTAATCGATTTCATCATAAATCAAACCCTTAGAGCACCCACAATGCTTTGGGTTTCTTAGAAAAAAGTTACATGCCATGTAAGAAATAGACCTAGTCTATAAAAAAGTGTTCTCCAATGCAATTAAAAGTGGACCTAGTCTAGCTTATGTGGCAATAAAAAAATGAGACCTAGTCCACACTTGGGTCTATTTTAGACCCAAGTACAAACCCAAGCACTCATCATTTATTCCTCATTTAATTTTTCTTTTAATAAATGAAATATACTAGAGCATTTTTATTGGTTGTCATGTATTCTAGACCTAGTACTTTTTTGTTTTGCATTGGATAGATTTTGGTTTTTTTAATTTAGGTTTGTCCATGTCATTATGGACTTAAGTCTATTTATTTGCCACATATGCAAAAAGAGACCCAAAGCATTGTGGATGCTCTTAGAGCACCCACAATGCTTTGGGTTTCTTAGAAAAAAGTTACATGCCATGTAAGAAATAGACCTAGTCTATAAAAAAGTATTCTCCAATGCAATTAAAAGTGGACCTAGTCTAGCTTATGTGGCAATAAAAAAAATGAGACCTAGTCCACACTTGGGTCTACAAACCCAAACACTCATCATTTATTCCTCATTTAATTTTTCTTTTAATAAATGAAATATACTAGAGCATTTTTATTGGTTGTCATGTATTCTAGACCTAGTACTTTTTT